TTATAACATTTTATCACATATTATGAATGTATTTTGTCATAAAATGGAACCTGATCCAGAAATATTATTCGGCTTTTCTGAGTAGAAATATTAGCAAACTGAAAGGTGGAATTGCATAATAATTCAAGGTTAATTGTTTTGTTTGTCTGGCAATGGTTTCTCAAGCTTTTAAAAACAAAGATAGTTTTCCAAAATACAGCTTTGTCCAAACTAAAAACAGTAACTAAATTTATCTGGGGCTAAAGATAACAGTAGGTCCCTCCCGTAGAGTCTCTTTAAAAAAAATAATGGTTTCAAGGGCACAATTATAAAAAGAAATGTTCATAATCATAACATGAATTTACAGATATGTGTACACACACTGTAAATGGCTGGGGTTCCAGGCAGAAGCATGAGGATTCCCCCCCCCCCTTTACTATACTGTACTTTATTCTAGACCTACTGAATCGGGTTGATATTACTAAGTAAAAACTGGTGAGAATAGTGGATCACAGCAAAACCAATCATTTTTCAACATCAATACTAAGTAGCCCATTAGAAATCAAAGATACATACAGGGCTTTTTTTTTGTCATAGAACGCCCAGAACAGAGTTCCAGCACCTTTTTTGGATGGAACCTTGTAGGGTAGGCAAGGCAGGTTGTATGACATGTGTGAGTTCTGGCACCTTTTTTTTTTTTTTTTTTACAAAAAAAGCACTGGATACATATATGAGTAAACTATTGCACTCCATGAAATAGTTTATCCAAAAGTCAATGGGATGACTTTGGGAGCACTTTTGGTTCTCTGGGTTCCTCTGCTGATTTCATAGAGGAAACATTTTAAGGATTTATGTCTTGCTTTATAATCCAATGATGCCCAAGGAGACTTATAGCATGCTCAAATATACTCAGCAATCCTTGATTGGCCTGCGGCAGGAATACTCTTCCCTTGTTTATGTGATCCAATTGATTATTGGGGCACGGGGGAAAACACTGTGCAATTAGGACCAGGTAACCTTCCCAGTTCTGCACTGTTGTTCATGTGACAAAGCAGCTTCAACTTCTAGGCGACGAGTCTCCTTAGTTGTTTCTTCTGTTGAGATAAATAGGGAGAGCCATTCGCACAAAGGAGTTGTACTACCAACATCTTCACACATTTGATTGCCTAAAATTTAAAGGTAAGGTGGTGTCTCCACCCATTCCATCAATAGAAAGAAACCTGACCAGCACATATTCCTTCAACACTAGCAGAGAAACATGATGAGCTTTTCCCATGCATGACATAACGGATCAGCTTTGCGGTGATGCTTTGCCTATCAATTCCCCTACCAATTTAGGGGAAGAACCTAGATGTTCTGCCATCACCTCCAGCAACTGCCCAGCACTGGCTATTTGGGGAGATTGCTTCCCTCTGCCTTATGACAGAATTGGTTTTTGCAGATTTACTCAGGCAAGTTGACCTGAAAATCTGAACTTTGGTCCTTTAGATTAATAAATAGGGCAGAAACTGACAGTAGAAGGCTTCAGGGTACGGTACTTCTGACAGTTGGAACATTAGAAGAGATTGTGTAGCTTTTTAATATTGTGTCTACAGCATTTAATCAAGCTTTCTCAGATACTGAGCAAAAGTCTAGTGTCATTCTGGAAGAAGGGTTCCTGAGGGCTCATTATTTTCAATTATTATTTTCTATCTGGGCATGAATAATGCTAAGGGGAATCCACTAGTGTAGCTTAATTTTTCACATAAGACGTGGAAATGTAAAGCTAATTTTCTCACAGGAAATTAAATGACCTCTAATTTTGCATCTCATTTAAAATGCCCCTCTGTACCCCAAATCTTGTATGGTAATGATGCTGAGCTAGAATAGAGTTCTAATCTTACCAAAATTAACAAAATCCTATTAATAGTGGCCCTGACCTTTTATTATTTTTTTCTCCTGATGTAAGCAAAACGTCTGGCATGCTTCCAGTTGGCCAAATGTCTTTTGACCAGTGTGTTACAAAAAGGCACAATTTTACCACGTACTTCAGCACCATTGTCCTCCAAATCTTGTTACATTGCAAATTATGATGATTTCTAGTCTACCTATGGGATTATTTGTTCAGAGGACATGTACTTGTTTCATTCTATCCATGAAGGGATGTTCCTCATCAGATCAAAAAAGGAGATTCAGAAACAGTAATAGTCACCCCATTCATATGGAATATACCGGGCTCAACATTTCATAGAGCAACAAAAATTTCTCTCCGTAAGACCATTTAAAGGTTAAAATATATTGTATATATCATTTCTAACCCTCATATGTGTTTCTCTCACCTCTAGTTCAAACATTTGTCTAAAATGGTATTGGCTTTCCTGCCTGAGCAGAGGGTTGGACTTGATCTTCAAGGTCCCTGTTATTCTCTTCTCTTCTCTTCTCTTCTCTTCTCTTCTCTTCTCTTCTCTTCTCTTCTCTTCTTTCTCTTCTTTTGTCTGTATACTGTTACTGTATATTTTTTGTTTTGATTGCCATTATAGTATTATGTTTATTTAGATGCTAATTGCCTGGAATCTCTAGAGATGGGTGATATATAAATATAATAAATAAATAATAATAATCCTCAACTGCGGCAAAGATTTCTAACCTAAGGTGATTGAAAAGCATTTAAACAAAATCCAACAGGTCAGATTCTGGGAGCAACAGGATAGGCAGCTTCTCTCAGATTGGAAAGTGTCTTGGGCTGGCTTGGGTTTTCATATCAAAATGATAGACAGATAAGCAATTATGGCCAAGTATAAAAATAAAAATACATTGAGTCAAAAGTGGAGCAAAGCTAGCTACAAAATAGTTTGAAATCGACCAGCTGCTTTATTGACTTAATAAGCAAGCAAACTTTCCAACATTTCATGCATAACAAACTCATCATTTGCATTTATCCAGAAGTAGAGTAAAGAGGTCCCCAGAGAACAGCTGTAGCATAGGCTGGCATACTAAAAAAAAATCAGTTATCAAGATGCTTAGTGCTACAAATGACACATCTCATAGGCTTCATTAACTGAATTTGTTCTGTATTTCTACTTTTTTAAAAAGTCAAAACAGAAATTCCATCCAGGGAAATTGCTTTGCAAAAAGAAATGCTAAAAGGCTTTGCACCTGACCAAAATAAACAAAAGACCAAAATTATATCAGGAGTACAAATGAACTGCTAAAGTGACAGCCTGTTTTGTTGCTTTATATAGCTGTGAATACAAATAGTGGAAACACCTGTAGGCGTGGAGAAAATGTGCAACACAGTTGTATAAATATTTTTTTTTTCTGGAGAACAAACCAGATCATTTTAGTTCAAGTGCATTGTTTATTATTTCTAGTAAAATGCCCATATTGGTGATGGTATGGAAGGGCACACATTCAGAGACACTTCAAGGGATAAGTTTTCCAAACAAAGATGTCCCACTGAACTTTTCTCCATCCAGCAGTTCTGCAGTGTTGTTCATTGTCAACTATATCTAGCTAACCTCATATGGGGTGGATGGATTTATTTGTTTATTTGTACAAAACCGTATGTACTGCCTGCCTTGGAATCAAGATTATTTGTAAACGTATCAGAAACTTTAGGCCCAACCTATTCACAAGTCGGTGGCTGTGGAGGAAAATGGGAAGATAGAGCTTTGCCTGCCACCTTGAGTTCCTGAACTTTTAAAAAGTAGGATATAAGTCTCACAAACTAATAACTACTAAATGACATTTAAAATATGGCAAAATCCAAATGCACTGCAGAATAATTAAGTCTTGAAAACCAACCTCAGTGTAGAATTAGGTTGGGTGCACTTTGTCCCTCAGGAGACAAAATAGTCTGAAGTGTGACTGTCACTGCTAAGAAAATATATGGTTGGACCCCCTACCTTTACCAAATCACATTATAAAGATTTCCAGTCCAGGCTTGGCTTTGCCCCCATTGGGGTAAACAGCAACCAATATGGGGGAAAGTAAAGGATACAGCTGAAGAAGATCCAACATGTTTCTCTGCCTCATGCAATTTCCAGTGGCATATTCAATTTAAATTAAACTCACACAATTTCATATGCAGGGTGATGCACTGTTTAGTCTCAGCTGTCATCCATTTGTCAAGACTAAGAATAATCATCAAGGATGCTCGAATCCCTAACATCTTCAAAAACTCTTAATGTTTCTCATTCATTTCCACAGAATAGGTAATTTGTCAACTGTCCATGAAATAAATGGACACCACTGCATGCCTTTGGTGAAGGAAATCCACATGTATCTGGTTGGAGAATGTTCAGACTTTCATTATTTATTTGTTTGTTTGTTTGTTTACTTGAGGGTAAAGGTCCGTTCTCCGAGCTTGTGGCTTGGTTTCTCAACGTTTAATTACCAGGCTAGGTAACATCTTCAGCAGAGTCTAGGCAGTGGTTCTCAACCTTCCTAATGCCGCGACCCTTTAATACAGTTCCTCATGTTGTGGTGACCCCCAACCATAAAATTATTTTCATTGCTACATCATAATTGTAATTTTGCTACTGTTATGAATCGTAATATAAATATCTGATACACAGGATGTATTTTCATTGTTACAAATTGAACATAATTAAAGCATTATATGTAATTATGTGTTTTCTGATGGTCTTAAGTGACCCCTGTGAAAGGGTCGTTCGACCCCCAAAGGGGTCGTGACCCACAGGTTGAGAACCGCTGGTCTAGGGGATGTCCTAATCTCCGCTGAAGATGTTATCTAGCCTGGTAACGAAACATTCAGAAAACAACCCACAAGCTCGGAGAATGAGCCTTCACCCTCATTGTACACCCGAGCTACAAATATTTGCATTTATTTCATTCATTCATTCATTCATTCATTCATTCAGTACACTGCCAGTCTCACCTAAGTGATTCTGGGCAATTTACAACAATTTGAATAAAAGCATAAAGATTTTGTCACTAACTACTCTTTAGACTCATTTATTTTGCATTCTAAAAGGGCCGTTGGTTTTGTTGTTACTCATTTAAGTTTTTGTTTTCAACAGATTAAGATGTTTAGTGAAGCAGCTGGAGAAAGGCGATGTTAACGTGGCTGAACTGAAAAAGAACATCGAATATGCAGCGTCTGTTCTGGAGGCAGTATACATCGATGAAACCAGGTGAGATTTTTTGGAACTACTCTGAATCTCCATTCATTCCTCCTGTCATCTTTTCAGTGGCAGTATTGTGTTTTTGAAAGGTTTGTAGGATAATGCTGAAACACAAATTAGGGGAAAAAGTGCTACATGCTGCTTTTTATATAGATATGTTTCGGATACCTGCAATAAATTACTTTTTGCACATTATAAACGTCTAATACATATCTGAATTGCATTGAAATAATTTCACAGTCAGTTTCTCATTTCTCAGTTATAATTAAATTGAAATCAAGTTTAGGAGAGCCCAGGAAACAAAATCTTATCAGATGTCAGATCAGGTTTGACCTAAGTTGCACATTCTGGTATCCTGGCCTTTAACATTTAAATCAGAACGAAATGTACTTTAAACTATGACTGCAATACTGTTTCCAGTGTCATTTGGATGTTTTGGTCCATCTGGGCCTATTTCCTTAGTTAATTGAAGATCTGACCTTTTGATAATTCCAGGAAATTCAGGTTTATTGAATGGAGTATTATATACTTACTTTGTATGAATGTCTTATATATATTTACATACTAAATATTATGCTTCTAGAAATAATACATAAGAAATAAGAGGGATAAATACTTGAGGTATATTATTACCTCTATGAGAACTGAAAACCAATAATTTATTTATTTATTTATTTATTTA